TATTGATTTTTTCATCTGTTTCTTCTTGCTTCTTGCATAGGTAGTTGACTTTTTCATCTGTTTCTTCTTGCTTCTTGTAGAAGTTGTTGATTTTTTCCTCCATCCAGTTTATGCACTCTAGGACCCTTATTCTGAATTCTTTTTCTGTCATGTTGCATGCCTCTGTATTACATAGCTGCTTTTCTGGAGAGTCCTCCTTCTCTTTCCTTTGGGGGTTTCTTTGTCTACCCCTGTTTAATCTCACTGACATATCTAGACGTTGAGTCATTCAGTGGCTGCTCCCTGGGTGGCAGTGACTCCTTGGTCTGTGGTTGTTCTCCGGGCGGTTGCAGTAGCAGCTGCTCCTCAGTTGGCAGCAGCTCCTCTGGTGGGTGCTGTTCACAGCTGTGGTGGCTCTTCTGGCTGGTGGGGGGAGGCTTCACGTACAGCTGCTGTTCCTCAGACAGAGGGTGTGGTGCTCAGGAGGCTGTTGTTGCTTGGATCTGCTGCGTTGATTTAAAGGCACAAAATACAACACAACAAGGCAACATGTACCAGGCACTAAACACAAATATATTCACGATATTAATAACCCCAAGTAAAGGTGACCACCCGAATTAAGAGAATTAGGGGATAAGGAAGAAGGAAGAGAAAAAGAGAAAAGAGAAAAAAGAAAAGAAAAGTAGGGACCAAAAAAAGAAGTGCAAAAATGAAATTGGGAAAAAGGAGGGGGGAAAATAAAAGTGAGAAAAGAAAAGGAAAAAAAAAAAAGAGTGAAAAGAGAGAATGAAGTGGAAGAGGGGAAGAGACTTTTTATATGAGGAGAATACTCCTATAGAACCGCCACTAATCCCAACAAATTCCAGCAACAGCTCCCTGGAGATGGATGCAAACTAGAAACAACTAATAATATAACGATGAAAATAGAATGGAGGACACTAATCCCAAAATAAAATAAAGAAAAAATAAAATGGCACTTTAAAAAATGGTAAAATGGTAGCAGTAAAAATACTGGTTAAAAATAAGAAGGTAGTAATTAAAAGGGTAAAATCAGGTGATGGAAAAAGAAGAAAAAAAAAAGAAAGAAAAAGAAAAAAAATTGGTTTCTTAGTTAAAAGGTGAAAAAAGAAAAAAAAATTTGTAGTAGTGAAGGTCCTTCGGTTCTTCTATTCTTCAGTCTGGCTCGCCTTTAGTCCTGCCAGGTATTCAGGAGAGTGTTGAGTTTCCCTGCGATACACTGTTCCTCTGTGTTGTAAACCACAGTCCTTATTTTAAAGCAGGTCGTATTTGTTTCCCAGACTGCCTTATTTTGTGTTTAGCAAAGAGTCAGTTTGTGGCTCAGCCTCTGGGTGGCAGTGTTCTGGGGTTGGCCTCTGAGGCAATAGGGCTTCTCTATCGCATTTAAAACTGATTTGGAGAGGTCAACTATCCAGAGCTGGTTCCTTAATAGTTACCTGCTCTGTGTTGTTGCTGGGATTGAAAATCCCTCTATAGGCCAGACCCTGTTAACTCCCAGGGACTGATCAGATTATTTTAATCCTTGATCTCCTTCAGGGTGGAATCTGGGTGTGGCTGTGCTCCTTGCCTGGGGACTGGGGGGAGGAGTCTCACTCTCCAGAGAGAATGGCTGCCCCAGTCCTGGGCTCAGGGGTGTCTCAGCGCTCAATTTGCTGCCACCTCTCCCGGCCCCCCTTCTCTCCTCAGTCTCTCCCCAGATTCCACTCCTCCGCACCCTCTCCCTCTCTTCAGCACAGGTGAGTGTCTGTATCCGAAATATCTTATGAACAGGATTCAGTGAAAACAAACAAACAAACAAACAAACAAACAAACAAACGCCGGCCGCGGAAACGGGGAAGGCTTGGTTTCTGTAAGCTCTTCTCTTACCGGCACTGCATGGTCTGGTCAGCTCTTCAGGCTGCCCCCTTTAGGCTCAGTCCTCCATGATAACAGAACCCAGCTCTCAAATCCCCCGGCAGTGCCAGGAATCCCGCGGATCTCCTTTCCCCAGTCAGGGGCTGTGCCTGTCCCAAGGGATGCGGCTGTCTGCCAGGTGGTCTCCCTCCGACCCTCTGGGCTCAGAGGTCTGGCAAACTTTCCTGCCCAAATCCCTGTTTTTTTTACCTTTCCAGGGTAGTTCTGCCCTTCCCGGCTGCAAATGGTCTCACCAGCTGAGCAAGCAATTTCGCCAATTCGGGGTGGGTGTTATTAGTTTCAGCTGCTCACTCCATTTGCTCCGGGACACGACCTGGGTCGCATCTGCCTATATCGCCGCCATCTTCAGAATCCCCTCAGGTAGAAGTCTAGGCATAACATCTTTGCTCAGGCCAGCTCTTACCATGATGGTCATGCTGATACTGGACTCATTTATATATTGCCTTAGCAAGCCACATTTGTCCCTTACTACTGCCCAAATGAGAGTACTTTTAAGATCTACACCACTTTATTTATTTACTTTTTAAAAAATTTCACTGTATTTATCAATAAAGTTATCAATAAAGCAATAGGACATATAACGCATATTTAAACAACCTAAAGCAAGTCAATGTTTAAAGTATTAGATATATCTTTTATCTTAAGTTTAGTCCTACAGCTGCATGTGAGTTTGTATGTATATAAATATCCCGGTGAGAAGCGAAGAATACTGAAGAATTCAGATATCCATGAGGATATTTAAAACAAGATATATTATTCAGAATCTAACCACACAACTCAACATTTGCCTTTGCCAGTAACACACAGTGGTATTACATGAAACTCTATGGTGAAGTTCCATGCTTCACATACTGATGCTCTACTCATTCAGCTAGAGCAGTGGTTCTCAACCTTCTGGCCCTTTAAATACAATTCCTCATGTTGTGGCCCAACCATAAAATTATTTTCGTTGCTACTTCATAACTGTAATGTTGCTACTGTTATGAGTCATAATGTAATTATCTGATATGCAGGATGGTCTTAGGCGACCCCTGTGAAAGGGTTGTTCGACCGCCAAAGGGGTCGCGACCCACAGGTTGAGAACCGCTGAGCTAGAGTCTTTGTGCCCTGGGGACAGTTTTCTGTTTTTTAATTGTGTCAGGCACTTTAAAATTGGATTGAGAAAAACAAATAAATTAAGTGACTTCTCAAGATAGAGCTGACCAGTTCCAGACAAGATGGAGTACACACAATCTATTTTCCTTCTCCTGCTAATCACAAAACATACTCGAGTCACAACACGTAAATCATTTATCAGAAGACTCTAAGAGCAAAGAAGGAAGATTGGCTGGGAGCCCCAGGATCTAGGGAATGATATGACAATGACAGTAAATTCTATGGGTTTTTTTCTTGCCTACTATATATCCCAACTTGGGTGTTAGACAAGCCCTCAATGAAGCACAATGCCAACTAAAAAATAGAAACCAAGAAAAACCAAAGGACTAGTAAAAGGGTAGCCCAACAAAAATAAAACTTTTAAATACACTTGCCTATTCGAGGGATGAATAGGACATAATAAAAATAGCAGTGTCTCTCCCTATTTGAAGATGGTACAGCAGAGGAAGAAGGTCAGTGAGAAACCATGGACAGAAACCTATATTCTACTCCCATTCCCTTTTTAGCAAAGAGACAGCATCCCTTTCCCCATGGATTCTGTGAATGAACCAACTTCCAACCCCCATAAATTAAACGGGAGGTGCCTCTCCCCTCAGAGCCCCTGGTTGGAACTCTGACTTCCCTTCTGTTACAATCATGAGGCAACAGGACTATTTTTTTTTTTTGCAGCAGAAGGGATACCAGAAGGAGTTTCTTTGTGGTCATGGAACAGTTCTTTGTGATGATTACTCTAATCTATATCTGTGATACAGTTTCATAGAACTATATACTCTTCTCACCAAAAACAAAAAAAAACTGGTGAAATCTCAGTAAGGGCTATAGCTGAGTTAATAGTACTAGTATTGAATCAAAATCAATTTCTTTAAAACAAGAAAGAAAAATATATGTGCCTCATTAGCTTATATATTTATATAGTAGTATATCAGTTATTCAATTCAAAGTTATTTTTAATGCGTCTGTCCTGAACATTGGACACCTAATAATACATGTGTTATGTATGTTATAAATGTGATAAAACTTTAAAATTCAACGAGGGTGATTTTGCCACTCAGGTAGATTTTCTAATATTACTACTAAACCAACTATGACAACAGAATACTATTTCCCCCTAACTTTCAAAATTCGGGTTCTTAATCTAAGAAGAGTAACTACTTAAAAAGAAAAGTTTCCATTCACATCTGGATAAAACTTCTTATGGTTTACTTAAGTGCAAGCATAATCACAGGATATTATAAGATAAACTCTGGGACCCCTCGGGGGATGTCAGAGATCTGGTTTCGGCCTGGTCCCCACAAGCCAGGCCGAGGGACCCCACCAGTGCATGAATCCATGCGTGGGGCCTTTAGTTATAAATAATAGAAATTAGAAATAATACTTTAGGTTTTGTGTCATGCTTTTTCTCTAAGAAATGAACGTTTTCTCTTTCAATCTCATCATGCAACTGGTAAGTTCTGAACCATGTCTCTTTTTCAAATGGCATAATTAAATGGCAGGGCAGTTCATACGCCTTGCCTCGGACCACAGTGGAAATCACCAATAGGGTAAGAGTCATAAATTAGGCCTCATGATCTCCTTTAAATGTCTGGCTTTTCAATTGCATAAGACGATGCTTTTAGCTAAATCTCTACCTGAACATCATTCCACTGAATGAGCAATAGTTGATACCAGAATAACTCTCTTGTTTTAGTAGCTTTGTTTCCACCAAAATTTCCTGCCAGCACAGCACTACTCAATAAGCAACACACTCAGGCACTTAATTTATTCTAATTTCATTTCTGTTCGAGTATTTTTAAGAAGTTCAACATCTTTAAGTTATTAAATACATTGCAATACAAGAACTATTCATTGTGATGGACCAAGTTTCTTTATTATAAATGTGTATATAAATTTCTCCAAAGGGAAGATAACCATTAATGCATCTTGTCATCACTTACTTTCTTCTTTCCGTTTCAAATCTGTGGAGTAGTTTCCGAAGACCACCATTCTTAAATCCCTGAAAATGGGCAGCTGGGGCTCCCACGGTGATAACATCATAGAGAGCATCTGGAACGGGAATGGACAAGGAGATCAACACTTTGCAAACATTTCTCTCCAGCATGCTGTTTGCACTGAAGCATACACAATGTCGGAAGTCTGAGACATTATTCTGTTTAATTTTGCAGGAATCACTATGAACTTGCATCTCAAGGGGGCAAGAGGAGCTAATTTATCTTTCTAAAAGCCACCTGTGCACCTATACAAGTTATAATATATCCTTGATTTATGACTACATCTTAATTATACGCTACTGTGCAGAACAGTATGTTCTCCCATTCGTCTGTATACTTACTGAGATAACATGCTAATTGGTCTTTTGTGTATTTTATTTTATTGAGTTTTGCATCATTTAATTAGCAATCATATTGAAATTCAACAATAATGAATCTTTCCACCGAAATTTACAGAGAAAAGAAGCATTTTGGTTCAAAGCCAGAACAGTACCAGTGCATTTTTTAAAAATCTATATAGAGTAGTTTCTGCCTGTGTATACAAAATCTTATATAATTTTAATGCAAGCTTTTGCAATTTCCTCAGATGAAAGAAGAATACACAAAATGTCTCCTGATCTATTTTCCAGCAAAATATTTTGTGGGTTTTTTGTTTTTTTTGTTTGTTTGTTTTTGTTTTTGCAAAATAACCATACATTTAAATTGAAACTCAATCCCTTGATCTTGAAAGCCATCAGGTTTCATACATATTAAGTTTATGACCTTTAAACATGCCATATATTATAATGAAAAGTATCCCCATCAGAAAGAAGACAGAGTGAATGCCCTCTTGTTAAACTACATTTTATCTGAGAAACCTAATTTCATAGTAGATCCTTTTCATGTTGATTTTGGTATTGACACACTGACTGTTTTTCAGATCTCATTTACAGGGAAAACATACATTATTTTATTAGCTTCAGGTAAACACCATAACTTTTCCAAAGTGGTTCAATCTAAATGCACCAGTAATATCTTTCTTAACAATAAATGTCTTCAAAACTCAAGGTCATGAAAGAACTGAATACAAAGTAACCCATCAATAAAGCAAATATTGAACAATCATTTAATAGATTGCTGGAGTGATCATCTGTTGCCTTTTTAAAAAGTCGCCAATAAAGTAGAAGTCAGCTCATCTTAAGGTAATAGAATATTAGACTTCTGTGTAATTAAAAAAAATTGCCTAGGGGACTTTAACCCAGGCCTAAGAAAAAGGTTCCAGGTATCCGTGACCATATATACATTTTTGTAAGTGCATCTGTTCTACTTCCTGGAAAGGGGTCACAGTTTTCTTAAATGGTCATGAGCTTAAATGGTCATAGGATTAAATAATCCTATTCCTACCGGCCTTAGAAATATCTCTGAATGTCAGCCAACTATTAATCTTAACTTGTTTTAACTCTTTCAACCTGCCCTTTCTCCCTGGTTTCCAAAACAAGTATAGACAACACATTCCTTTAAACATTCCAAACTAAAATTCTCAAGCTCTCAAGATCAGTTGCTTTCTTTCTCTCATCATTTTATCTGATCAGTTTCAACAACTCTGCTCCCCAAATTTCATTCTCTTTTATCACTGTGAACTCTCTTTAAATCTAACCTTCCTCAGTTCATGTCAGGATTATTACTGCCTCTTCAATCTTAGCCTCCTTGCATCCACAGTGCAGATCGCTTCTCCTGTGTTGGTGGACATTCAGTCACTCTGCCCAAAACACAGGCTTCAGTTCTTCTCGTATATTTCAAAGATTAGGAGAACATTCAAATGTGTGCATGTTGTAGATGCTGAATAATTGTCAATAAACAAACAAATATTTTGAGGATGAATTGTTTATCTAATTTGTCTTTAGATTACACAGGGAATTACTATTCTTAATCGAAGAATAAGAGGTTTAAATACACTATCCAGAAAAAAAAAATTGAAATCTGGAACATACATATCTCCAGGGGAAGAAGATAACCATATATCCCTCCCTGAAACACATTCAATAATAAAAGAACAAGGGGAGTTTAAGATTACCTACATGGAAAAGATTGAAATTAGACCCTTCATGCACACAAATCAACTCAAAGGTTTTAAATACTTAAACATAAGAACTAAAATTATAACATTACTAGAAAAAAACTTAGGGACATTTCATAATATTGGTCTGTAAAATTATTTCATAGATATTACACTAAAAGCACAAGTAACAAAAACAAAACTAAACAATGGGACTACATCAAACTGAAAAGCTTCTGCTGGCCCTGACCAGGCTGCTCAGTTGGTTGGAGTGTCATCGAGTACACCAAAAGGTTGAGTGTTCAGATCTGAGTCAGAGCACATATCTAGGTTACGGGTTTGATCATCAGCAGAGGCATGTATGGAAGGCAACAGATCAATGTTTCTCTCTCAAATCTCTCTCTCTCTCTCTCTCTCTCTCTCTCTCTCTCTCTCTCTCTCTCTCTTTCTTTCTCTCTCTCTTTCTCATAAAAACAAAAAATATATCCTTGGGTGAGGGTTAAAAAAACTTCTAAGGAAACAATAATGTAAAAAAGCAACATAGAGAACAGGAGAATAAGAGAAAATATTTGCAAATCATTTATCTGATGAGGGGTCATTCTCCAAAATATGTAAGGTACTTCTATAAGTCAATACAAGGCTCCAGGAAGTCTTAATATTTTGCAATTGTTATTTGATAACAATCAGTTATCACTGTATTGAAACAGTTATCTATTTTGGCTCCTTCATCCTTGAATTTCACTTGCCATTCATTACTACAAAATTAGTAGACAGATCTAAGTACACCATGGGATTTATTTCCTGGTCTCATCTCAGTTTAGTTAAAGTACCATGTTCATTCTTGGCCAGAGCAGATGCACTCCTTTGAATGTAGTTAGAATTAACTTCAATTGATTGATTTCATTTAAGGGAGAACAGATATAAAAAAGGCAATAAAAATAAAATTATAAGATAACAATCTGATCAGTAATATTTGTCTCATTTTAAAAATTTACCCATTTTATCCTGCTCTTTAAATTAAGTAATTTTGTGACATAAATAGCCCTTAACTGTGCATAATAAAAGCTTTCTGATTTTTTGTACTAAGAGACAACTATAAAAATGTAGGTGGGCATTTTATTTTACAGAAAATTTAAGCAAAAAAGTTGAAGGTCCTTTTTTCTTTCTTATAAAATATAATCTGTATTTCATCTACTGATATTTTTATACCTCAAAAATGGTCCCTGGCTTTGTGAAAATGGTATAGTATACATTATAATAGAAAAGTGAAATTCAAGTTGCATCTCATCAAGCTAAAGACACTAGGTTGACTTGAAATTTAATAATAGGGCTGCTTCATAGCCTTTTAAACGCCATTTAATAATAGAAATGAGATAATAAGTCTATTTTCCCCAGAAGATCTCTTTAAAATTCCTGCAACTATAAAAATAGTGCTAATAAAAATATGTAGACATGCTGATCTCATTTCAAGGAACAATTTAAGCATAATCCCTGACTTCAAAATGGCCCACAAATGACTTTGACATGATTCACAAAAGCACAGGGATTTTTGAGGATAATCTGTTTCAAAGTAGTCCAAGAAATTTGGCATCATCATGAAACATGTCTAAAGGTAATTATGCTTCATTGATGAGGTGATACACCCAAACTCTTGAAATGCAGAAATCAGGGAGCTCTGACAGCTCCTCTTATTTGTTCTAGCTTCAGTGTAGAGATTGGAAGTTTAAGAGGCAAAGGGGTCAACTGATTCATCCATAGTTACACAGAAATGCGGGTGACATTGTACCTAACTCCAGCTTTATGATATCATATAGTGAGTTCTTTCTTTTACTATTTTTTCCTTTCCTCTTTCTTTCTTCCACCCTTCCTTTTCTCTCATCCTTCTTTTTCTTTCTTCCTTCCCTTCCTTTCTTCCTTCCTTCCTCCCTTCCTTCCTTCCTTCCTTCCTTCCTTCCTTCCTTCCTTCCTTCCTTCCTTCCTTCCTTCCTTCTTTCCTTCTCTCTCTCTCTCTCTCTCTCTCTCTCTCTCTCTCTCTCTCTCTCTTTCTCTCTCTTTCTCTCTCTCTCTCTTTCTCTTTCCTATGTACTATAATATGATCTATATACATAAAAGGCTAATATGCTAGATGTTTGACTGTTCAGTCAACCATTCGACCAGTCTCTATGATGCGCACTGACCACCAGGGAGCAGATGCTTTTACTGGTAGGTTAGCTTGCTGCTGGGTTCCAGCCAATCGGGACTGGGTGAGATGGTTGGATATGTCCTGGAGCCCTCCTGTGGTCCCTCCCTGGCCGGCCAACCTACCACAGTTCGTCCCTGGCTAGCCAGCCCCAATTGGCCCCAATCAGGAATGGGCAAGACAAGCTGGACACACCCTGGAGCCAACCTCCTGCAGTCCTTCCCTGGCCTCTAAAATATTTCTTCTAATTAATTTCCTTTCAATGTGTACGAATTCATGTACCGGGCATATATATCTATATCTATATATCTATATATCTATATATCTATATATCTATATATCTATATATCTATATATCTATATATCTATATATCTATATATCTATATATATATATCTACTAGAGGCCCAGTGCACGGATTCGTGCATCAGTGGGGTCCCTCAACCTGGCCTGCACCCTCTCATAATCAGGGACCCCTGGGGGATGTCAGACTGCCGGTTTCAGGGCCTGCGGAGATTGGGCCGAAACCAGCAGCCCAACATCCCCCAAGGAATGTAGTAGTGTGCAAAGCGGCAGGCGGCCAGGGAGCGCAAAGTGGCAGGCGGGCACTGCGCTGCTCTGGCTCATCCTGGCCCTGCTGGGCCTGCTGTCGTCGCCGCACGGTAGCGCACTGCCATGGACGGGGGAGAGGCTCATGCCACCACAGCTGTGCTTGCCAGCTGTGAGCCCAGCGTCTGGTGCCTGTCAGTCAGCTGAGTGGCCCTCCCCCTGTGGGATCACACTGACCACCAGGGGGTAGCTTCTGCATTAAGTGTCTGCCCCCCTGGTGGTCAGTGCGCATCACAGTGACCTGCCAGTCATTTGGTCACTTAGTCTTTTATATATATAGATAATAGATAAAATAACTTAAACATATAATATTGTAATATCACAAGAATCCAGATGTTATACTATTCACAACTGATTTTCCAATAAGATAAAATTTACTGAGATATATCAGAGTGGAAAATGGTATTCTTAATTTCGGGGTACTGTTTTTGCTATTATTGTCACTGCTCTAAAAGATCTCTATTGTGGTGGGTACTCTCTTGCATTTAATTTCAATAATGAATAAGGATGAAAATTTAACTTAATGGATCTGGGGGCACCAGAAGTTAAATGGAGGTTATTTCACTTGTCAGTATGAGACATGACATCATTAGTTCTGCTCAGTTACTTGTTTCAAGAGCTAGACATTAGCCTCAGATTTGGTAAATCTGCCTGCTATTGTTTGTAAAGCTGCCTCTCCAAATATAGCAGGCATATTAATCAAAGGTGAATCGATGCAATTTACTAATGGTAAGAAGGAAAATGAATGTAGTCTACATTCAATAACTCACCAGTGAAATACCAAGGCTTGGCCAATCTTACTTGCATCATTACCTTACAAAATGTTGTCTGTAATTCAGCCAAACATTTAAATCAGTAACCATGGATCTTAAATAAATTTAACTGCAATTCAAAATCTGCTAAATACATGTTACATAAGTAAATAGGAAATTTGATTGACTACCATCTACACCTTTTAATTTTTATTTTGCAAGTAAATAAAGCAAAGCTCAGAGTGGTTATTAACTTGATTACAGCCAAAGAAATTGTAAGTCCCTAAAAATTCAGTCATTTTCAATTTCTACTATAACATATAGTTGGTGCTCTAGTCTCTAAAGCACCTACTTTATTTGAAGTCCAACCTCAAATAACTTTTAAACTTATAAAAAAGAATATTTTAAAACAAATATTTAATGTTATACATATTTTATACATGCAATATACATCTATACTAATAAAAGTGTAATATGCTAATTAGACTGGACGTCTTCCGGACATCCTTCCTGACAAAGCCAGGCTGGGTGAAGCCGCCCGCCCGCAGTCCTGGGTGCCAGTGCCTGCAGCTGCAGCCTGGGAGAAGAGAAGCTGAAGCCGGCCACCCGCCCGCGGTCCTGAGCACCAGTTCCTGAGGCTGCGGCCTGGGCAAAGCAGCCCACCCCTGGTCCTGAGTACCTATAGTTGGCCAGAGGGAGGGAAGCCCAGGTGACTGCAGCTGGCCAGAGAAGGGAAGCCTGGGTCCTGTGTGCAGGGCCAAGGCAGAGGTGGTTAGGTGTGATCAGGCCAGCAGGAGAGCAGTTAGGGATGATCGGACAGGCAGGCAGAGGAGATTAGGGGCAATCAGGCAGGCAGTTAGGGAAGATCAGGCAGGCAGGCAGAGGGGTTAGGGGTGATCAGGCAGGCAGGCAGGCAGGCAGGCAGGCAGGCAGGCGGTTAGGAACCAGTGGTCCTGGATTGCAAGAGGCAGTCGGACATCCCCCGAGGGGTCCCAGATTAGAGAAGGTGCAGGCCAGGCTGAGGGAGCCCCTCCCCTCCCCCCCGCATGAATTTCATGCACCAGGCCTCTAGTACTAATATAATATAATACATTATGCAATAGATTTCAGTACCTTCACATTAATTCTTGGCTGTAGGAAAGCTTGTTCTTTCCTACATTTTCTCCTTAAGTTCTTTAAAGGGAGGAACAAGTCTTTCTGAAGACTACTATGACAAAAATCCTCTAGTTTATGAGTTGTATCCTAGTTCTAACAGCAAAATCTTGCTTTTCTCTCCACTGCTTGATTTTTTTATCACATATAAAAAATCCCTCCATATATCCTGTTATGGGTAAATCGTGCCCCACAAGAAAGATATCTTAGAATCCAACCTTATTTGGAAATAGGGTCTTTACAGATTAATCAAGTGGAAATCAGGTTCTTAGGATGAGCCCTAATCTAATATGACTGGAATCCTTAAAGGGGAAATTTGGACACAGAGAAGGACATAGAGGAGAACACCATGTGAAGATGGAGGATCAGTGTGATGCATCAGCAAACCAAAGGAAACCAAAGATTGCCAGGAAAAAAAAAAGGAGTTAGGATGAGGCAAGAAAGGATTCCCCTCAGGTTCCAGAGGGGGCTTGGCTCTACCAGCACCTTGATTTTGGATTTCTGGCTTCAAGACAGTGAGACAATAAAATTCTGCTATTTAAGCCAACCAGTTTATGGTGCTCTGCTATGGCAGATCTAGGACACTGGTACATTTCCCAAACCAAACTAATTAAAAGAAATTTTATTTGCTTTTCTAAATTTCTCTCGTTTAGTTTCTAGCTTCTCCGTGTTAAATTGGAGAAACAGAAACTAGAGGCATTGCATTCATCCTAGCTCACTCTGGTCTATTTTTCAGATAGTATCTTGGCAAAAGACAGCATAATGTAAATGATTCTGTCATTTTCAATAAAGAAAGATGATGTAAAAGGCCACTTAGATAATAATTTCTCTTTGGCGGAAGTATTTTAAGGATCATCACCAAATATTTGAATGCATATTTAAATACAAGCTTCTATCGATTTTGCCCCAACAAACTACCTGGTTTGGTGATACTTCTATCATCCACCCAAGGCTGTACCCCAGATCATCCTTCTCTCCCATTTCATCATCCTATCAGTCATCAAGTCTTGCATTTGATGATGTTTCCAAAATGCCTCTGCCTCTCTAAATCATCTTTCCTCTACATCTGGCTACCTCCTTATATTTTATTGTGTCTTTACTGATCACTTTAACAGCCATGATAAAGCTGACAGATCCACTTTGTCCCACTGATGGCAAAGGCCACATATATCATGGAAACTCTTATCGTTCATTCTAGGTGTTTTACATACTCTAATTCACTTCATTTGGAAGAGAAAAACACAGATTAGAAAGATTAGAAATAACAAATTTAATAGAAACTAGTGAAGCTGCAATTCTATTCCATTCCACAAAATACATAAACTTTTTACTATATCATAAAGGCCTCTTCATATCGGCCATTAGAAAAAAAATCATGTTGGTTATCACATAGCATTTAAGTACTTTAGCTTCTTTATTACTTGTTGATATTCTGGTTTTGATGATTTTTAAAACCATTATATGTTATGTTCAAACTGCTGACAGACACTCAGTAACCAAAAGTTCCTAAAAGCCTTGGGCCAATCCATCTAATTTTTATTTCAGTTCTTTCATTTGACAAATTCTTGGTTAAAATGACGGTCACCGCCAAGACAGAGAAACAGCTTGAGTCCAACTTTGGGCTTTGGTTTCTCAAGATAAATAGTATACAATGAACAAGTCTTGCTTTGCCTTTTTCTTTTCTTTTCTTTTTTTTTAAATCCAAACAGTAGCACAATTGGCAGCTATTAGGAGTCATTGACACTACTTAAAGAAGCTAATATTCATTTCGCATATTCACCTGCAACTCAGTTCAGGTGCTACATTGATAAAGTAGTCCTCAGAAACAGCAACAACAACAAAAAATAATAGTGCCTTTTATAATATTCAGGGTTATTATCAGCTTCAACTGTTTCATCTTTATCTTTATATAAATGCTTAAATTGTAAAGTCTGCCAATGGTGGAGATTTTTAAAGAAACACCCTAACACAGTTGCCTATTTTGAAAAGAATACTATACACTACCTTTCAGGTGAGGGCTGTGTACGTGCATCCTCTGCAGGTGTAGATTTATTGGAACAAATTCTAATGTTTTCTCTCCTTTGCTGCTGCTTGATTTGAAAGAGGACCCTAGGTAGAAAGAAACTTAATATTACTAGTAAGTAAATAATGAGGACATGTGTGTGTACATTTGCTGAAAAATAAATTTGACATAAAGAACTGTTACAAAAACTTTAGGAAGAAAATATAACTGTATGATTTGCTTTTCTTCTCAGATATTTAAATTTTTTAACTCTCAATTATCTTTAGAATAATACCGTGAGGTAAAATAGGGCATTTTTTCTTTGTTATTTTTCACGCCAATTTGGAAGCATTAGAATTATAAGATGCTTCAAAAAATATTGGCTGTTCTATGTCCATAATAATGTTTATTATTGTTTTCACATAACATATATGAAATGCAGCACAGGTTGAATATGTAGAGTTATTACTTTCACACCTGTTTCCTTGCTGAGTTCTGTCAGAATGTCTTGGTACATATTCACCATTTGATCACAGTGAGTAAGGACATTTTTCCGCAGATTGTCCCAGTGAGGAGAGAGTTCACCAAGTTCTTTTAGCTCCTGGTTCCTGTTAAGAATGGGAAATGGGACAACATTTTTATGTAAGTCCATAGACACAAACTGCTTAATTAGGGTTTTTAAACCCATAAAAAATTGATTCACCACTCTTTTTGAGAAAGCTCTATGGGGGGAAATAATCATTTTAATACAAAGAAAGATATGAATAATTTAGGTCACACAAACATTAACCATATCAAAGAGAAAAAAGTGCAGGTTAATTTACTGATAAAAATTTCACAAAGCCTGGCCAGTTGAGTGTCGACCTATGAAACAGAAAATAATGGTTCAATTCCCTGCCAGGACACATGCTCCAGTTGTGGGCTCAATCCCCAGTGCTAGGAGTGTGAGGGGGGTTGCAAGAGGCAGCCGATCAATGATTCTCTTTTATCATTGATGTTTCTAACTCCCTCTCCCTTCCTCTCTGAAATGAATAAAAATATATATTTTAAAAATTTTTTCACAAAGATGGCAAAGACTATCTAATATACATAGAGGCCATTCAGTTAAAAAACCTCAACAGAAAAATGCTAAGTTCTAGGCTTTGACCATCCAAAATGAAATAAAGTGAGAAGGATAATCAGACTATGTTCGAAGGAAACATAAGCTATTCGGGTAATCTAATTTATATATAATAGAGATATAATTTTTTAAAGCCAATGAATAGTATGATCAGGTATGATTTTATTGGTCTCAGTTTCTCCCATGAGGCCAATTTAAGTAAATGTTGCATATGTTTTGCCCCTTCTTTATCAAAAGAAAAAGCTAATCATGCCATTTAGGTTTTAATTATTAACTTTTATCTAATTCTCTACCCTTTATCCAAGTTAATTTAAATAATCAGAATGCCTTTTCAAATTATAATGATAAATGGTTTTAATATGCTGCTTGGTTAAATCTCTTATTCATTTCTGTAACCTTTTACCAACAACATTTTCATGAGGCTAATTTAACCAGCAATAATGAACCTTCTTTGCTATTTTGGCTGTGCAACATGCTAAATACCAAGCTAATAAATTCAGAAGATGTAGAATCTTTAACATGCTGTTAAATGCAAGAGTAATGGATGGTGTGCAAAAATGTGACTTGGTTCCAAATGTTTGTAGCTGCCTTTTTTTTGTTTCAATGGGGTGCAATGTAGTTTTGCTATATCTTTCATTTGAGATATTTATAACTTTTTGAACAATCATCTCATTCTCAACTGTCCCACAGATGAGCTGTCATCACACAACATTTGTGGGAGAAGAAGTAATTAATCAATAGACAGTGAGAGTAAAGAAAGTTCATGACCAAAGATGGGGTAAGAGGGAAGGTTGGAGAATTGGGGAGTCAAGTTCTCTGTGTACACACAAATACCAGGCTATTTAAATTCAAGACAAGCAACAACCACCACCAAAGCAAACAAATAATCCCCCAAACTGGAGATATCCAAGTTTAGAAAACCTTGGGCAATTAGGTCAAATCAAAGGATGATAGCTAGTATAATATACCAATTTAATTTGTAAGCTTTTAGGCTGTAGCTCCAATATACACTTATGATAGAAATATTAGTTAGGTATGTCTGCTTAATAATAATAGATGTTTAATACTAGTAGGTTTAAAATTTATGTTGCCTCTAAATAATTATCAGAAATAGTAATTAAAAGGAGCTGATTAGGGAGTAAAGAGAGGGAGATAGCAAAGACCCCTTACTATGGTGTGGGATCCTAACATGGCATACATCTCCTTGCCTAAGAGAAGTCTGGAAGTATAGTCAGAAAAGTTTAGTGATTTGTGGGGAATGACTTAAAATATGCTGGGATTAGTCCATAAAGTTTTGTTTAAATTTTACTACACTCTTCCACTATGTCAAAATTTATACACAGGAATACATAGAGAAATCTGGCATTCACAACTTTTTTGTTCTAAGAAATGGCATTGCAATGGCACACATTCTGAAAAAGACATATAACCACATAAGGTACCTTTGCATTAAAAACAGTCAAAAATAAGGGGACTACAGAATAACGGTATCAAAAACAGAGTGGAGCAATGAACAAGCTGTAATAAAGTGAGGCAGAGAAAGAAAGTAGCTATAAGTTTAAAAAAAAATAAATTCATTAGATTAATACACTAATATACATAAAAATGGAAGATAATTAGGTGTACCAAAATCAGAAAACTTTTCAATCAGGAAGGCTAGAGTTTATATTATATTTTAATTTGTTACTTGGTGAACAGAAACTTTGGAGTTTAACAGTGAGATCCAACCCCAGGGAAGCATGAGGGAGGTAAGAAGAAAAGTGTTTCAGGAAAAAAGCAGCAGCAGACATAAGGTGGTATGTTCCTGAGCTGGGCAGAACTTCACAAGAAAACAAGGCTGGTTGCTAGGTCATGTGCAACAACTCTAGAGAAGTCACATGGCACCTTCGCACCTTGGAACAGCTTGTTAGGTGGGGGAAGAGACATTTATATGCCACTTCCCTACCTTCTATATTTCACTGGTAAAGATTCAGCCTGTGGGATATTAACTCCTTTGCACGCCGGTTGTGTAATCTATCTCCTTTGGGTAGCCACTGGGGAAGCAATATCCCGGTGGAGACAGAACTTTCCTGGTTCTGGTCTGATATGACACAGGTGCCAGAGCCACCCTGGATCTTTCCATGTAGATGCCATGGGGGGCATCCTAATGCCTGGTCGTAATCTTCAGAGAGGCTGATACAGCTGATGGAGTTAGGAAATTAAGTGACAACAGTAACTGTATATGGGGATCTCCACTGAATGAGTGGTCAAAAAGTGAAGACATATTAGGGTTGAACCACTATAGGAAAGCACTTAAACTGGGCCCAGGACAGGCATCACCTTGCACAACTCCAATGCACTTGCATCGTTTTCTGATACCCAGAGAGCATATAACACAGCATTCCTCATACCTCACGAAAGAGAAGTTCAAGTGCAATTCTTCAAGGTCATACTAGTTGCTATTCCCAAGATTTAAGGAGAGGCAAAGAACCAAGCTACAATATCTAATACTCCAGCTGATCCTTGGGGCCTAATTAATAACATTAATCACCAATCTCCTCTACCATTCATTCCAGATTTTCTTCATATGTCACTGGCACTTCAGCTGGTCTGGGTTGCTGCCTTGTGAGGTCTCTCAGACTTTAATCAAAAGGGATTAGGCCCTTAGTTGTCTTGCTCATATGGAATCCCGGTTGCTGCAATTGCCCACTCATATCTGAGCATGGGGCACCTCTGAGTTCCAGACTTTTTTTCTCAGGTTGTGAAACAGCAGCCTTCTTTCCTTATGACGGTAAGAATAGTATCTCTTACTGTCTTTGCTGGACCATTGTAATGAGGAATGTGTGGTAACCAGATCACATGTGGAATCAATCATAACTTCTAGTTAAGTGGGACTATGAATTGTTCCCCTGACAGAACCTCCAAAACCCATAGCCCAAGAATCACAATTCTAACTGGAAAAGTCCAAGGTTGTAGGGAAAGGCACATTTTATATAGATGGTTTGTTCTGTCTTACCTTGTTTAAATATTTCAAAATATATGCTTCTCCTCTTCAGCAAAATAGTAAGTTATATATATAATGTTTTAAACACATACAATTGAATAACATAAAGGAAAAATGAAATTAAAAAACAACCCTATGAAGAATAAAGAGACATAATTGAACACAAAATGAGGCATAGGGGAACTGGAAAGTAAATAGCCAAAGCTGCTGTAAGGTTTTTTTTTTATATATAATGCATAAAGCATGGCAAGAATATTAAATAGATAAATGGTTTAAAACTTTGTTTTTTATAGCCCTGGGAGTGTTATGGCAGAGGGCCAATGGGAGGATGTTGAACAAAAGAGAAGCCAAGTAAGTGGACAGGCATCAGGCCTGTTTCCTCACTCAACCCCCACTAGAACAATCAGCTCCAATGAATCTCTTTGATTTATATGGGAATTTTGTGCACAGTTTGTTTGGGGGGTGGGGGAAAGGGCTCTGTTGCTAAAAAAATAAATTACAAAATTAAATTACAAAATTAAAACATAAAAAATAAAAGAAAGTTTAGACCCTAGTTAAAGCTTCTGTTTAAAATAACATTCGAAGCCTACTGATGACATATACAAGGAGGGAATTTCAACACGGGGGAACATGCTCTGAGCCTGCGAGTGGCAGAGACTTGTCTCCCTCGTCTTTTTGTCCTACCACAGTTCTGTTTGACTGAGGTTTGTTGATTGAGCAAATGAAAGGTTTGCTTGCAGGTTATTACTCTTAGTTTTCCCTGAATTTGACAAAAGTCAAAATATAAAGTAGGATGCTGAGTTCTCCCCTAGTTAAAATGGAGAGATCTGAAAAATAAAGGAGGTACTACTGAATCCTCTAACCTTGTATGATCTAGATCTGTAACCTTGGGTTGGTCGAGTCTTCCTTAAGAATACACAAAGATTAGAAAATACATTTTCATATGGAATTTCTTCCTATGACATCAACTTGACTGGGTCACAAGGTGTCCAGATATTGGGTCAAATGTTATTGTAGGTGTCTAGGAGGAAGTTTCCAGATCAGATTAATATTTGAATTGTTAGGCTGAGTAAAGCAGATGGGTCTTCCTACTTTGGGTGGGCCTCATCCAATCACCTGAAAGCCTGAGTAGAGCAAAAAGGGCTGACCCTCTTGGGGTAAGAGAGAATTCCTCCTGCCATACTGACTTTAAACTTGGATACTGGTGTTGTTGTTTTTTCAGCCTTTGGACATGAATTGAAACACTGGCTTTTCCTGCTGGTCTTTGAACTAGGAATACAGTATACCCTCTCTTGAGACCCCAGCTTGACAACTCACCTCCAAGATCTTAGAACTTGTCAGCTACCATACTTCACACACACGCGCGCACACACACACACACACACACACACACACACACACACACACACACACTATGGTTGTGTTTCTGTGGAGAACCTTTACCAACATATTAACTATACAGGGATTCTATCACAAAGGTTTCTCTCTGCTTGGTGCAAAGGAAG